CAGTGGTTAAATGAAACGTTACCAAATTTACTTCAAGGATACAGTTAAAATGATGTTTTCAATATTGATGAAATGGGTTTATTTTTTAAATGTCTTCCAAATAAGACTATGATGTTTAAGGATAAAACTGCTCAGGTGGTAAAATGAGCAAGGAATGTTTGACTGTCCTAGTTGGAGGAAATGCGTCTGGGACAGAGAAATTGCCCTTACTTGTTATCAGAAAAAAGCGAAATCCCCGATGTTTCAAGAATATAAAAACGTATCCTTTGGATTACAGGTCTAACAAAAAGTTTTGGATGACATCAGTTTTATTTGAAAACTATGTAAGAAAATTGGATCGGAAATTATTCGCTAAAAAAATCAAAGTGATACTCTTCATGGATAAATGCACAGCACATAGTGATCAACCTAATTTGAAAGCAGTAAACTTGCAGTTTCTCCCGCCTAACACAACAGCAAAGTTGCAGCCGATAGACCAGGGTATCATAAAGTGCTTCAAACAGTCTTATCGTAAATGGCTTGTCAAAAAAATGATTAATAAGCATTAATTAAATAATCCAACAATATTTTGAAAGTCCAAAACCGAAACTAACGATAAGTCGAACTTCCGATATGTCGAAGTTTTTCGTCAGTCCTATCAGATTCGAGTTATCGCGAATTCACTGTAATTTACTTTTTGGACCAACGAGAGTACTATGGAGAGAAAAATATTTCACATTTTTTTTTGTAATGTAACTTTTAAATTTATATTTCAGAAATATATATATATGAATTTCACCTTTCTGTTACATTTTTATCAGAGTAACTAGTCTGAAATTATAGTGCAATTTTTCAATTTGTTGGATTAGTTAATATTCTTGACAGACTTATAGTTTATATCTTATCATTTGACATTTTACAATGTTTGAATAACTTTCGAAACTTATCTCCAAAAAGTTCCACGAAGTAATTAACTCAACTTTTTCTGTTGTCTTCTTTGATGTTTCTTCTTTCGAAAAAACCTGCCCCATTTTGCCCATATTGCAAGGGTAGACTAAATATACCCAAAAAAGCAAAAATTATGGGTTTTTTTCTTGTTTTCGCGTTATTTTGTAATTAATTCGCGTTATTTTGTAATATTACTTCAGAAATATAATTTGATTTTCATTTTTATTATAAAATTACGAAAATTATTATATTTTCATTGCTATATTTAATTATTTAAACTTACTATATATATATTTTTTTGCTCGCCATATTTCAGCCGCCATTTTTTTTTGTTGGTATTTTTAGCGTATTTCAAAATTTTAACTATGAATTCAATTTACCTGCACATGAAAATCCTAAATAAAAAACCCCAAATTTTGAAACAAATTTTATCGAAATGCCAATTTTGGCCACGAAACCTTGGATGCTGGCCCACTGTGCAGGGTACGATTGTAACAGAGCAAAAATTTCTAGTGCCGGGTTCTAGATTTGGTTCCTAGGTGGCGCACAAGGTGTATTTAATAAATCTACATGTATTAGAATATTATATTGTGAGAAAGTAATTTTGTTTAAACAAATAAAAATTATAAACCGAATATGTAAGTGGACACCTTAATTAACATTTCAGTAAAAAAAAATTAGTTTTGTGAATTAACTAGCATTGCTTTTAAGAAATGAAGCTGAAATGTCGTCTTGGGGACGATTGTAACTATAAGCAAAGGGACGATTGTAACAGCTGAAAATAAATAATCTTATGTTTACAAACCATTACTTAACTCTTTAAGAACCACCAGTAGTTTCCTATATCATTCTATATTATGTTGTATGTGCATTATTTTATTTGTCACGTTTCACAGCATAAATTTAAGTTTTTAACCCCTAGAAGTTTAACCCTTTAGGTCTCTGCTCATTATTATTTTTACTCCTAAAATATCACTACTATTTTGATGAATAAAAAAATATATCGCAACTATGATAATATGTATAATTAACTATGTTTTACTTGAATTTCTGAACTCTTACAATTGACCCCGTAAGTGGGGACAATTGTAACAAGTGCACGACTGTCAAAAATTGTTAATAACTTATATAATAACAATTAAAATAAGGTTGTTGTTTTTTTCTAGTAGAGGATAGTCTACTTTACTCGTCTGTCAATTAATACTAATAATATATTGGATTTCTTGTTAGTTAAAAATAGTTAAGTAAAAAATTTTATAATTGACGCCACTCTCCCCTAATGTATCAAAATCCGATGTGTTTATGTTGATTAATGAAATAAATAATCATAGAAATACCTAAAACGGCTAAAATGGGTCGTTTGTACCCTCATAAGAAAAACATTCCTTGTAAATGTCAATACCTATTTTTTTATTTTGAAAAATAGAAATTTTGTGAATTATCTTAAAGATACATATTTCTAAACAAATAAAAAAAATTCAACAATTTTTTAAATTTTTCAACTTTTGGATTAAAATACCAACAGTACCTCAAAAGTTCCCCTCTCGCCAATTTAAATCTCAGGAGTCTGTGCATTCTTAAACCGAATAGGAAGAAAATATCGATTATAAGAGACTTATCGAAAAAATACACAACCAAAAGCTCGGCCAACCCCACATTAATTTAAATTTAAACAAATCGGCTAACGCATTAAACACCAAAATAACGGTAACAATCTCATTCTGCCCTGTAGCTGAAGCATTTTTATGTTGAAATGAAAGCAGCTTACAATAAAGGTAGATCAATCATGGATTTTGATAAACCTCAAATAATAATACGTTTACGTGATTCATCTGAATAAAAAGTTATCTTTTGCATTTATTGCGAAAGGAAATGAATAAACATATTTGCATTTCGTCAGCGAGTTTTAACAACACTGTTAAAAACAAAATACCATTTTCCTTTGCTAGAAAACGAACCAATAGATGGCGCCACGAGATTTAGAACTCTCTAAGAACAACAATTTTTTAGTTAGTTTGATTATGTTACTGTCGTTGGAGAGATCATGCTTTTTTTGTAGTGTTTAGTGCTGTTAATATACATATTTTACCCATTTCGTAGGAGTACTTTTATTGAGTTTGTGGTCACTGATTTGATTTATTTAGATACGTACCGACCCGGGTAGAAGAACAAGGTAAGAAACCCTTTTGTTGTTACCTGTTCTATTGAAGTAGATAAAGAAATAAGTTACCTTTTTTAACAAACACATCTTAGAAGAGAGACCATAAACAAAACTTTGATTCCTTTAGTAGTCGAAATGTAATGATATCTTTCGCACTATCCTCCAGTGCGCAGCTTAGAAGCCCGAGCACAGTGACATCTTCCGAACTGCGCAGTTTATGTTCGTTGTGTTGGACTACTTAAATTGATCCGTGTTGGCGTCTTTTTATCTTCTAGGAAATGTTCGTTTCTTAAACCTGGAAATAGCCTAAAAACTCTCGTTCACGAAACTGAACAAAGTTTATATGCTTTATGTGCTTACAAAAATGAACACTGATGTCAGTGCATGCCTATGAAAAGGAACACAGCTCAAAAAGTGCTTTCACGAAAATTGACATAGCAATTTTATTCCGTTTCTCAAGTTTCTTTTATGAGTATTGTGCTCTTTTTTTAAAAACGAACTAATGAAACCAAATAAATTCGTAATGCGCTATCGTACATTTGCTTGAATAACTTTTATTAAACATTTTTATTAAAAGGACGTTAATAATCAAAAATTGCCATAAAGTTTAATATAGTTTTAGTCCCATAAAATAGAAGAAGTTGAGAATTTATCGTTTTAAAACTCACTTTATCGCTTATAACTCCGAATACGAAGAATTCGCCAAAAAAGTGCTTTCTATAAAAACACCTTTCCACCTCGATCACAAAGTCTAAGACGTTTCCCCGTAGTGAGTATTAGTGCGCTTAGTATTTAAATAAGTAATGAAATTATTTATCATTTGAATGGGGCTTAAGCTCGTGATACTCCGTCTAAATGTTAAATTTAAATAGAAAACTTTAAAAAAAAAATTTCATTCTGTGTAACCACGCAATCCAAGCTGTGTCCATCTTCGTAAATACGCATTTTGAGCTGTTCCAGTTTTCGTAAGCACGCATTTCGAGCTGTGTGTATTTTTGCGAGCACGCATTGGAGCTGTGTCCATCTTTGCGAACACGCATTTGGAGCTGTGTCCACTTTTGAGAACACGCATTTCGAGCTGTGTCCATTTTTGAGAACACGCATTTCGAGCTGTGTCCATTTTTGCGAGCATGCATATCGAACTGTGTCCATTTTTGCGAACACTTATTTTAAACTGTGTCTATTTTAAGGAACGTACATTTTTAGCAGTGTCCATTTTCGTATCACATATTTCAATGGATGTCCATTTTCTTAAACACGCATTTCAGGCATTGTCCTGATTTATAAATGAGACGACGATTTCCTTTTATTGAAATTAAATAAAAATTTTATTAACTGCTTTATTTATTTACGAAAGGTTAGGTATCATTAAATATAATAAATGAATTTTATGAAATAAAAAAAGTTTTAAATTTGGGAAATACTTAATGCCTTTAATGACGCCGCAATTATTATTACAATATTTTTTTTAAAAATTCTTTTAGATTTTTCTGGTTGTCCTGAATCATGGATTGACTGTGGTAATGGTAAATGCGTTAGTGAACTGTGGCTTTGCGATGGAGACAATGACTGTGGAAATTTTAAAGATGAAGAGAGCTGTGGTAAGTTGATTTTGCATCAAAAATTGCATCAAATATGTGATTCAGGAGAATCTTCGGAATTGAATCAAAATTTCATTTTCCATGATGCCATGAAATATCGTAAAATTAAAGGAATAAGGCATTATAGCACTTAGTCTCACAATTTTTTCAAAGGTGACATTTCGACATCAAACTGTTCTTAATTATATTTTAAGAAAATTTCATCCTAATACTGCGTGGTAACTACTTAACACCAATGTGGAGCTCCATGTCACCAAGAATGTTCGTTTACACTGAAGAATTCGATAAGAAGAATTCGATCTAGGCTCAACAGAGAAGAAGCGAATAGAAATTACAAATAATAAAATTATTTAATATAATTGATAATGATTTCAAAATTAAAATAAACGCATCTTTATCATACCAACTAAACTCATGCCTACATATTTTAATTGTGAATTTTTATTTCAATTGCTGCATAGCAGCATTAGAGACAACCGCAAACTCATTCAAACTGGTTATCGATTGTTAGCGTACATCAGACGATTTAAAAAAATGCACCAACAAGGATTTTTTTATTTCTGCAAATGGAAGTTTTTAACGTTAGGCGGGAACTTAAAATAAACCTTTTCCAGTGTTAAGGGTTTTAAATTTAACTGCACCCTTCAAATTATATAAATACTCAATTTGGTGTTAACTTGAGAAAAAAAAAGTATTTCTTCAAGTATTCAAAAGTATTTCTTTTTGGGTTGTTGAATAGTTAAGCTAGGCTTATTAATTTATATTTTAAAAGAGTATTTTGAGATGAGCCCATTTTTGTACACACACTTTTCGACCGTTTTACATTTTAAAGAGACATTTCGCGCCGTGCCCTTTTTCGTAAACACGCATTTTGAGCTCCGTCCATTTTCATAATAATGCATTTTGAGCTGTGTCCATTTTCGTAGGTATGTAATTTGAGCTGTGTCTATTTTGTAAACACTCATTTCGAGTCCAGATTCAAACTCTCACCCACGATTTCATGTTTTACAGTGTTGTCGCCATACTTTAGATTGAACCTGCGTAATTCTCGTTCATTTAATAAACCAGTAATATGTTATAGTTTTCTCAACAATTTTTTTTCTTGATTTTTACCTTTTTTCGCAAGGGAATTCTGTTTGAGTTATTTAGGGAATCTCAAGCTGTTCCAAAATGTTAATTTATATCTTTATAACGTCTTCGTTTTCTTAGGCAGTGAAAAGCCTCAAGCAATATGTCTTTCAAGTCAGTTCCAGTGCGCAGAAGATCGTACTTGCATACCTAAAACATGGAATTGTGATGGAAGTAATGACTGTCCAGATGGATCCGATGAGAAGAACTGCTGTAAAAAAAAGAGTATGTTTCTTGATCGAACCCTATAAATTAGAATAGTTCAGTTTCAAGAAACTTTACAATTATTGCAATAAATGAAACAGGCAAAAAAATTATATTACCTGGAATAACTTTCTTTATAATGATCTATTCGAGAAATCTACTCCAAAAAGATGGCTGAAAGTATATTCGTTGTGAAAGAGAAATAGAGTTAAATATAAATTCGCTGCTCACAAACAGGGTGGATGCAAAGTTATAGTTTAAGAAGTTTTTCAGCTGTTAGATTCAAATTAAAGGAATTATGGGTTGCTTCTTATATTTGTATATTTTAAAAAACAATCTTCTGAAGTATGCAGACCAAATGATGGTACTAAATTTGACAGTGCAGCAAGACAATGACTAAAACAAATATCAGAGCTAATGGTTCTAATGGTTTGCTCACGTCAAATTTGATATTTCATAGTGACCAATTCCATTTACATTCCAAAATCCATTTACTTGCATAGATATAACGTGGTGTAAGAAAAAAAAAGTAATATTCAAATTAAATTTATTTATGCAAGGTTTTCAACTATAATGTAATCAAATTCTAGCAGCGTACATCAATAACCTTATTTTAGATCATGTCGCGTGATTGTTTCAAAAAGCATGGCTACGGAGTACTAAAAATATTATATCATTTTTCAGTTGTTTTGTTAAATATTCTGCAAAGATTTATTCATTTTTTATTAAATTGAAATTTAAAAAACTGACAGGATATTTTTAAGATTTTAAATCATTTTACATACAATGTGGTATCATTCAACAATAATACCAATGGGGTATCATGTAACAATGGGATATCATTCGAATTTGTTTGTAATAAAAATAAAAGTATCTATTTTTTACTCATTTAAACAGAAAAAAAATATAGTTAAATGTAAATAAATAATGTAAACATATTTAAAACTAAAAAATGTTATTAAATATATTTACGCCTAAAATTTCTGCTTGCCAGTTAAATAGTTAAAGCAGTGTTATATTATGCATCTTTTTGGAGGTTTACTATTCGCGAAGGGATTTATTCACGTTAACAATGGTTTCAGAAAACTGAGTGATTTTGCTGATGTTACTTAAATCATAAGAACTTCATGGTTAAGTTAGTGGGGGGCATAGTTTAATTATTTTGTTCCTTTTACTATTTTCCTACTTTAAATCCTGTTTCATAAGTACCTTATATCTGTAGTCTGAGGAGCACTTACAAACGGTGAATTATATCAACAGATGTTCTTTGATTATTTATTTTAAAGTAAATGCAATCGTTACACCACGGAGTTCGATAAATTTAAGTTCGTTAAATCCTGTCCTGACTGTATATATTGTTGTATATTTTGATCCAGTGATTACCTGCCTAGATGATGACTTTCAGTGTTTAAATGGACGATGTGTTCCTAACAGATGGAAGTGTGATAACAATGATGATTGTGGTGACAATTCTGACGAAATTGGATGCCGTAAGTATAAGAATATAACAGTTTTTATTCCAACAGTCTCAGAATAAACAGTTCACACAGTGGATTGTCATATTTATTAGTCAGGAAATCTTTACGGTTCAATACTCGGAATTACACCTGTAATTAGTGGCAAAAATAAATAGAATAGACATTTCATCCCTCCCATTGAGGCAAGAATAAGTGAAATTGACACATCTCACGCCTCCTATTGAGGCAAGAATAAATGGATTAGGCAGGCATCATGCTTCCCATTGAGGCAAGAATAAATGAACTATAGGCGCGTCTATTGCTTCTCCAGGAGGCAAGAGTAAAAGGATTATGCTGAAATTTACGCATTAACCATTGATAACACATGCCTGCAAAATATAAATCATAAAAAAGGAGTTGCAATGTAATGACTGATTTTGCTTATTGTTTGGTTTACTAATTTCAATATGATATCCATTTATTTTTGCACTTACATAACAAATTTTCATTAACCGAGTCTGAATGACGAAAAATGCCTATTTTCCATATTCCAGATTGAATGGTACTACATTCCTATATAGACAAGTGAGGAATTTTTTCTATCGCAATTTTTTCTATCAATCGAAAAAGACACAAAAAGTGTTTGATCTAATTGTTTAATTTCCATAGACGCTTTTAGGCATCTGTGTTACCACCAAATACCGAAATCTGCAAAATCGACTTTCACCTTCATATGTCAGAAATCTCATAGTCACTTTTGTGAATGTCATAAACATTTTGTTACGTCTGATATTAGTTTAGACATAGATATTTTAATATTTATTCGATATCTGATTAGGATAGATTAAGAAAAAACTCAGTGTTGAGAATATCGGGCAGTGGCACTTACCTGAATAAAATACCAGTTAAAGTAATACTGGTCCGATTGAGGATTGCAATGGCAATGGACCGAAACTTTAGAATAACCTTCAGTGTAGGGAATACCACGAAAGAATTATTAATCTTTAAAATATCCGACTGGACAGTAGTAGCTATTATCACAATACCTAACCGGTATTCCCTACACAGAGGTTTTTTTCAAGGCAGAATTCCATTGGATAATGAAATATCAAACAAATATTTTTAAAAAATATTTATTTATTGCAAAAAGAAAAAAATACTCAGATCGTATTAGTGCGATTACAGGTTATACATTGTTCATTTAAAAAGAACATTCTACATAGAAGAGCGTGGCAGCTATAAATAGTCATTCATAAACGCCACAACATTTCAAGACTTACTGCCTTAGTAGGATACCTGCAAGGGAAGTCATAGTAGATAAATCATGACATTCGTATATTCAGAAGTCAATCAAGTTCGACACACACACTTGACGTCACTTCCTGTATACAATTAAATCGGCCTTCGAATTTGAGGCGCTCTATAAGCAAGCTATAATAAGTCCATCCCAGTAAATAAATCAACCTTTTTTTCTGTTATAGTCCATCCTGAAGCTTGTGATAAGAATCAAGTGCGTTGCTCAAGCGGAGAATGTATATCTCTTATTTGGAAATGTGATGGTGAAAGTGATTGCACAGATGGAGGCGATGAGGAAGATTGTGATAAAACTACTTGCAATGGCGAGACGGATCTCAGATGTGAGGATGGTCAATGCATACCTAAGTTTTGGACTTGTGATGGCACGTCAGACTGTAGGGATGGCACGGATGAAAAGAACTGCTGTAAGTGCTGTCATTCAAAAATCTTTTTCTTTCAAAAAGCAAGAAAATAACATTAGTTTTACATTTTCATGTTGTTTTTAGTAGCTATTTGGTTTTTAATTTAATTGTAATATATTATTTCCGTACACTAGAGCTGCATGATGATCCGAAGACATGTTATCATAATTTTGATCCTCTGCTGAGGAAATGGCTTCCCCTCTTAGTGAAGTCGAGCACTTTGCGGTGGAACATTTTAACGAAAACCGATACCATACACCCTCCGCAGATTAATCAAAGTGGTCATTCATCCGCACATTGACCGCTGCCAGTTGTGACACTTGACTTCGGTGATCTACTGGCAAGCGTACTTTAACGATCAGTCCCACTGGGGAATTATTTAGTTATATTTAGGATAATATTGAGCAACTGATGCAATTCCTAGAAACGTAATAAACGAATTATGTTTGATATAGGTTTGTCACATCTTTGTATATAATTTTAAGTCCGACTTTAAAAGACAGAATAAATCAATAACCCCAAGAGACAGAAATAGAAAGCTATGTTTGCTTACATAAAACTGCAATGGCATCTAATCAAAGATGATAAAAAATAAAAAGAGCAATTTTTTTTAATTTAATAAAAACATGAAAATTCGATTAATTTGATTTAAATCCGGCAACTGTGGTTTTTCTGATTTTGTTTCTCACCTTTATTTTTCCATTTTTCGTTGACAACTTTACGTTTTTATTTCAAATCATTTTCACGTCAGGCAAGTCATGTAAATGGGAGGCAGTTTTTAAAGCGCTTGAAACGTCCCGACTGTTATTTCCTATTTGTATATCTTTGAAGTGAATAAAGTTTTCAATCAGGTAATATCCCTGATATTTGCTTGCCTACAACTCTATTTTTAAAGAGATAGAGAAATTTGTTGATTGTTCGTTAGTATAGAATTATTTTTATTTACTGTATAATGCTATTATATATCAATGATATTATAGCCATCGTTGAAGAGCCGACCGTAGCCTTGTAATTTCGAACCCAATACAGAAGACAAGGGAACTTTCGTGGAGGACATTTTGGTGAAACTAATCCGCCTTTGCGTTATATGGAGAGAAAAACCGCGAAATCCTCCAACTGTTAGCCTGACGGCAATGGTCAGTCTGCCACTGAGGATATCTTACTTCACTGTGGTCGGTGCAAGCCGAAAAGGGAACTCTTGTTGTTGTCGGAATTCAAACCCGGTTCACCTCATTGGAAGGCGAACGTTGAATCTCCTGAGCTGCCACGGCTCAAGATCGGTGATAAACATAGATGCCATGTGATGTAATCCAATCAGATTAGTACTTTTTTAAGTTGAATGAAGCCACAAGTTTATTTTGTTTAGAGTTACGCATTGAAAGGTTTTTCTATAAAGCTAAATAATTTGAAATCAAGGGTAAAATGAAGCAAAAATATAAATATTGTGCTGAAAATCAAAATTGATGAAGAAAAGCATTTATTCGTTTCGAGGAAGCTTATAAAAAAAATTGTGCGTGGAGTCCCTCCGCGCGGAGGAAGTAAAACTTCGCATCCTGCGACGTTAATTGTAGAAGAATCAGCAGTCGTAGAAGGATCTCTAGTTCTATTCAACGACTCTTTTTCCTGCTCCGCTCACTTCCGTGCTCTGTAATCACGGTAATATTGTGCATTTTTCCCTCGTCGACCTCTTGAACCAGTGGAAGTGCTTGTGGTTGCCTCATCGTCTCGCCCTGGAAAATGTATTTGTATTAATAATGTATGTGAATGCGTCATAATGTAATTTCAGGAAAGACCTAACAATCAATTGATATTCTCAAGAGACGTACCTTGACATAACCTTAAATCCGTCGCATTGTCCGTGGGATTGTTTTCACTCATTTTTTACAATTGTTATCCACTAAATTTGAAAATAAAAGATACTACCCTATTAAATTATGTGTGTATCAAAACAAACTAAAAAAATATTTATAGAAAAACAACACTTTTATGACTTTTATTATTTTTATGCTAGTGAGAACCAAAACAATATGGAAATGAATGAGGGAAAACTGGATCCTACTACGTGATTTCCCGGCCAATAAAAATGTAGCGTTAAACGTTTAACGCAACCTTGTTGGAAGTCGCATAAGTAGTATAACTTCAAAAACGCTAAACAGCTATTGACACCAGTGATGCTTAATTAGTGCTAATAATATTGTGTTAAAAGATGCTTTTTTTATAGTTACCAAATATACAAATGTGTTAGTTATTTCTTATATAATAATAATATGTTTCATGTTCCTCAAAATATATAAGTACAATACAAATTACTTGATTGTGGTAAATTTTGGCTACTATGAACTATCTTTATATATAGATTATTGTTATTTTCATATGATGAACTTCTAATTACTTGCTTTAATTGATTTAATAAAGCTAAGCTACAAGTAAGGGCAACAAAATAAATAAATACTAAATTGAGACTAAAAAAAAAAGTTTTTTTTAGTCCGTTGAAGGTTTTGTTAGCATTAATTAACATCGTTTAATTAATTATTTACTTTTTCCTACGTACGAAAATCAAGTATTTAGCTACAATTAAATAAAAATCTTATGAGATGAACAAATAGATGGCCATTGTTTAAAACAAAAGAATGAGCAGAAATTTGCAAAACATCGTAATGCGATTTTTTTCGAACAAATTGAAATTTTAAAAAAATAATTCACAAATTAAAATGCCTCTTTCAGAACATGAAATTCCATATCTGTAGTTACATTTCTGTATACTGCAAAGCAGCCCACGTGCTATTTTAACTACAATTTTAACAATTAATACTTCTAAAATGGAGAATCTATGGAATAAAAGTTTTTATTCTATAGTACAGTACTTCTTTTCTGTATATCTTCGTGCATTAAAGTTTGTAAGCCCCATAATATTTTCACCTCAAAACAAATTGTAACGTGTAAAGTTGAACACCCAAAGCAGTTGCAGTGGCTCTTATCTTTTATCATTATAGAGAACTTGTCTAGTTCAATTAGATAACTTCTCACTACCAGATGTAGTTACCACTAGAAAACTCAATGAAAAAGAAAAAAAAAACATTTTCTTGAATACGTTCATTAAACTTTAATACTTCTTTTTTACTTTATAGCTTCCAAATCAATGTCCTGTACTGACAAAGAGTTCCGATGTCAAGATGGCACTTGTATCGATGAGGTACTTGTTTGTGACCAAAGACAAGATTGTCCAGATGGGTCAGATGAACGAAATTGCACTAGTAAATAAATTAAGACAGCATTACTTTTTTAACTTTATAGTTGCCAAATCAGTGACCAGCAGTTTCAAAGAAAGATGGTTTGCGGATCTATTATAAATTTGTATATGCGCCTATAAGATTGCCGTGATGAGTCAAATAAATAAAGTAGCACTCCTAAGAAAATTATTATATTTTTAACACTTCCACGCAGATGGAGCAATGGTGTCCCTTTTGTATGTTTTTTTTCTGACTAGTAAAAATTTATTTTGGTATTTTTTAATTGTAAAAAGCAATCTAGTAGTTACTAAAAAATCTGTTTGACTATCGGAATTATATATGTACTGAATTATAAAATCCGAAAAAAGGGTAGCTTGGAAATTTTTTTTTTCATTCATGTTTAAAAAATTAATTTGAAAATTAAAGAAATTTCAGTGATTAATAACTGCTTAACTGTTCCTCTTTGATCTAAATAGCTGCAAATAGGTGAAAATTTAAAAAAAAAATTGTTTTTAAAAGTAAGCCGTGTTTGGGAGATTTTACCTTTACCGCAGAAACAGACACTGGTGTTGCATGCTGTATTTCATAACCATAAATTATTCAAACTCTAAAAAATATATTTTCACATATTTTGACCTAAATTTAATACAGTATAGTGAAAGAAAAGTATGAAAAATATATTTACAAAAATTTTGCATCATAGGATAAACTTTTATAGCTTTCGATATATATATAAAATATTAAACTGAAATATTTTTTTTAAAAAAAACTTTCCGATTTATTTATTTTTTAATATTCGAAAAATAATCTTTGGAAACCTTAAAAAAATTATCTCTAATAAAATAATCATACAAGTTTCTTGTCAATTTTAACAATTCAATTCGCTGAAATAGTTTTTTCAAAATAAAGATTTTTGTGATTTGTTTTTAAAATAAATAAAAAATAAAAAACATTTCTTTAGAAATCATAAAAAGAGTATTCATAAAAAAAACATTCCTCTAATAGGTAATTCCTTTGCTAGTTATGAATTCGAGTTATATTTTAAATTCAAATATATTTTAAAATAATTTTTTTAGATTTTTTTTATTATACAAAAAATAAACTAATCATTCATCTGCCATCCAAAAGAACAATTTTTCGGAAACTTCTAAGAGATCGCCTTGAAAAAATTTATCATTTGCCAATTAAATAAATGATTTGTCAATGTTAAAAATTATTCAAGTGCATATGTCACGGTGAAAGACCAAAATCGGTGGTTGTTGACTTTCACCGGTGAATGTCGACAAACACCAAATACGTCGTTGAACGATCGAATATTTCATTACATTCTTGTACATTCGGACCCTCACCGGTGCATGTCGACAATCACAGCTATGCTTTGGTGAATGTCCGAAATATTTATTACATTCGATTTGATATGAATTTATTCGTGGATCTAATTACATTTATTCGATATTTTAACCCTACACTGATGTTTTTTTAAGGTTAAGTGCCACTGCCCGGTATACCCTACACTGATGTTTTTTTAAGGTCAAGCGCCATTGCCCGGTATACATTTGCCCGGTATACCCTACACTGATGTTTTTTTAAGGGCAAGTGCCATTGCCGGTATATATTTGCCCGATACTCCAAACACTGATGTTTCTTCTAATCTATCATCAGTACGTATTAAAATATAGAATAAATATATCAAATAAATATAATAATATTAACGAATAAATTAATATAAAATTGCATACAGCAAATATTTCGGACATTCAGCAAAGCGACTATGTGATTGTTGACAGTCACCTGTGAGAGCCAACATTTTCCAGATTTCGAACGCAAAGGTGCTGGCGCATTTGGAAAGTTGTTTGATGCAAACGTTATTTGATGATGCAGCACCATCTCACTACGTAAGAGAAGTGCGAAACTATCTGGACGTAACCTTTCCAAACCAATAGATCGGGGAGGTGATCCTACAGCTTGGCCACCGCGCTTGCCATATCTTTCATGTCTCGATTTCTTTTTGTGGGGACAGCTGAAGGCTCTTATGTATGAGACTCCCATTGAATCTGCAGAAGAACTTGTCGCCAAGCTTTCGGTCGCTGCGGGGAAAGTTCATGATATGCCTGGTGTGTTTCAGAATGTTCGCCTATGTTTTCTTCGCCATTATACTGCGTGCATAGCCGCTGCCGGCCACTATTTTGAACACTTATTGCTATCACATGCCATTAAATTTGCTTTTATAACTTAACTTCATCGTTCTTTGGGTGTTTTTGCCTCATATAAGAACATAAACTTTGACGCCCTCTAGCGGTTTTGCGTTTTATTTTCGACCATGCATTCTTTAATAAAAAATTGTTTGCTTGGGTGTGCACTTTCACTTCCTAAAATTTTGCCCATCTTTTTAGAATCACCCTGTACCTGTATATATATATATATATATATATATATATATATATAGCACA